GTACGCATTACCGCGCAACCGATATGGCTCCTAGGAGCTTCTTCTCTGTCCACTTTCCCTTAAGGGAGGAGTGGGCTAGGCGGGACTTCTGGAGGAGGGGTACGGTGAACTTCTTTGCGGATGGATCGAAACTAGACGGCAGGGTTGGTGGTGGGGTCTTCTGTCGAGAGCTTACCATCAGACCTAGTCAGGGAAGTAAGCGTATATTCTGATAGCAAAGCGGCTATCAGGGCCTTGACTTCGTTGGAGGTGCGCTCTAACTTGGTTAAGGAATGCCTGATCTCTCTTTCGGTCGTGTGGGAATACTTCTGTAGGCTTATTTGGGTTCCGGGTCAGAGCAACATTGAGGGGAACTGCGTGGCTGACGAACTGGCCAGGGAAGGTGCTTGTGAAACGTTATCACCGGATAAAGAGCAGCTGAGGGTGCCATTGATCGCTTGTGATACACTCTCGGATAGATGGGCCTCATGTCATGTCAATACTCTACTCTGTTTATACAATAAATCCTCCATAGCACTGAACCTACGGTCGGTGGCGATTAACTCTGGTGAACTCGCATCGACCCTCAGTTTACGCTTACCGGTTAAACGCCATAATGGTGCCACTCGGCGGCTTATTATTTTCGTCCCTCTAGAACGGCTCCTCATTATATATTCTGTCTGGAAAGAGGTTGGGATACCCAAAAAACGATTTTTGTCGCAACTGCAGAAACGAGGAAGAGATGGAGAGCATTGAACACTATCTCTGCCACTGTCTCACCTAGCCGATTTTAAAACATTTGGACTCGAATAAATAAGAATAGGAATTTTAAAAACACCACCGAGAAATTCTCCAAAAAATCATTTCATATCCAAAAACTGGTCAAAAGGCTGCTAGCTACGTAAATGGGTTTCTTCCACATTGAAAAATAGCAGTTTTTTTTTTTTAAACACTTAACACGCATTTAGTACTTTTAGATTACTTCTAACCCATCCTCTTATTGGAATTCAATACTCGTACAATTTTAAACTATTTTTGAAAGTTTATAAAGCCTGATGAGAGCAATTAGTGGCCGTTTTATTTTGAAAATCCAAACATGCGTGGCTTGATTTTTTTTTGTTTCGTTGCAACTTTAACTTTTCGGGAATCAATTCACACCCCAACAAAAAGGTATTAAAAAGTTTTTAGTTAGGAGCAAATTGCAGGTAAAAAAAAAAAAAAACAACACAAAATCTGCAGCAATTAGTGCAATTCCCCTAATTTTGATGGACAGTTTGAGAGGCGCTGATTTAAGGAAGACCAAAATTTGTTATGGGGGGTGAAATGCCCTAGAAAATAAATCAGAAAGTTTATCTAATAGAAAAAAAATGTGAAAAAGGTGAAGTAATTAAAATGTGGATAAATGTTGGAAAGAAAAAAGTGTTAAAATGCCAAAAAATGTAGTAGGTACACAGTGCAAATATATGCACGAAAAAACGGCAAAAACAAACTTAGAGCAAATGAAGTAAAAACCAACAAACAAACACAGCAAACCGCATAACAAATTTTTAACTGAAATTGAAACAAAATAGAGCGCAAGTAAAACTTTTGTGGGAAGCGTGAATAAATGAAGATGATTGAAATTTGCTTTGAGTGAAGGGTTCATTTATAACAATAACAAACAACTAAAAAAAAAGAGAAATAAAATCAACACAAATGAGCACGGTGTGAAAATATTTTGGTAGTTCTTTTGTTTTTTTTTTTTTGCAACAACATTTGATATGCACATACATATTTATACACATGCATACAGCAGTTGCCAACAACAACTCATTGCTTTTATTGTTCCTTTTTGTTTTTCACGCTAGCCACTTTCCACTGCTGTTCGCATTTCTGACTTTTTCCAACTTTTTGCGTTGTTTTTTTTTCTGCACTACTACATTAGGGCAACACTTCCTGCAACACATGTGTGTGTATACATATGTACTCGCATACATACATATTTTATGTGCCGTTTTACATAGTTGTTTGTTGGCTTCGTAAGTTAAATAATTTTGTAGTTTAGCGTTGCTACTTTTTGTGGTTTCTTTTTAGCGCATTTTTATTCCAGCTTTTCTCGTACATTTTTGGTAAACTTTAATTACAAATGCAGTGACCTTGATACTCTCAGTGTTTTTTTTTCGCTTTGCTTTATGTTTGCGTTCGTGCGTTTTCGTTCTTGTTGTAAATTCACCAATATATCGGATATTCCATATTCCTTTGCGTTTATTGGCACATTTTGCTTGGCAGAATTTGCATATTTTTGTTGTTGGTAAAAAAAGTAATAAATATTTTAAATTGTGTTTTTTTTTGCATTTGCTGTTGATAACCATTCGTAAATTGTAGGGTTGCCATGTATTGTAATTGGAACATAAATAAAGAAGAGCGAGTTCCATACTAACGCAAGCCCAGTGTTGCATACTGCCGCTAACCCCAAGGCAGATTGCATCAGCACATGAAAAAAATTCTGAAAAGCTCTGTGGTGGTGAGTAGTAGAGAATGACGTATATTCTCTACCAGTAGAGAAATAATCGGTAGAGAAGAGTTACAGAAACGAACTACAGGTTCGATTTGGTAACCGGAGATGCTATTGGCAGGAAGTCAGAATATATTTTTGCTTTATTTTTGCACCGCATCGTATTCACAAAGATTAAACAGAATTAAAAAAAAACCCTTGAACTTCCGCTGGGTAGTTGACTATATCATCCTTTTCCAACCGCAGAAACAGAGCAAAACTGAGTCCCCGAGACTACATAGACTTTTGCATCTATGTATATCACAATCTTGGATAAGTAGGTATAGAGAGATATAGCCGCTTTACCGCCTTCTTGGTAATTTTTTGCTATTATCTTCGGAATGGAAAGTAAGAACTCGTAAATAAGGAAGTATATGAGAGCGCGAGAAAAGAGTGAAATAGGCAACAAGTGAGGAGAAGGATAGGGCGGCAACTGTTTAACTACATGCGCAGGGCAATTTTCACAGGTCAAGTATTGTATTCATTTTGGGCAGAGGACTCAGAATAATATGGCCTATATCGACGCCGATTGCAGAGAAGCATAAAGTTTGATAAAAGTAATAATGAATTTTTTTAGTACATAACATATATCTGGCAACACTAATTTTTTCCAGTAATAATAATATCAATATTACCAAAAAGATTTGATTGGGAAATATTTTGCACGGCTCCTCCCTATTCTTATTGGCTATGTTAGTGTTTATATCAAAGTTCATCAATTTCTGTGTATTCCATTAAGTTCAAAACTTATTCTCTGTTTTTGTGCCTTTCTTTTATTTCATCATTCTTTCGCCTGCATTGCTTTTCCGGTGTTCGTAAGTGGAAGTAAAGTCAATCTTTATTTTATTTTGCATTTATTAAATATTTTCGGCCATTATTAGAGTGTAACGGTATTCAGTGGTGATGATGATAATGGATGTGGGTCAAGTGTGGGCCGCTGCCGCTACACACATACATACATGCATATGTATACATTTACCAACGTTCGATGGTCATAATTGGGCAGTGTAATTGGGGGCATTCAATATGAATTCTGCATTCGAGTGTGCAGAAATTGCAGCATTGCAAAGTGTTGCGAAGTTAACGATTGGCAATTAGTGAAATATGTACGCTATTTCAGTGAGTCCATACGCAGCATTGTAGAATTCATAAAAAGGTTGTTTAATTTCTTTGGGGAACGCACTTTTCTGTTGTAAAACTTTTTTAATTATTTTCTTTTCTATTTTTTTTTTTTTTGTATTCTGCTGCCCAAAAGAGAGTTAAAATTATCCTACGGCACGTAAAAATGTGTGCAAAATTTACTTTCCTTTTCTAATGAAACCGAATCATTCTCGCCATTCGCCCTTTTCGAAATTACTTCACGTCCTTCTTTTTATATATTTTTTTTCGTTTCTCTGCAACATTGCCCTCATTTCGTGTTTTTTGTTTCTTCACTGCCACTTTTTTTTTTCTTTTCCTTCGCCCTGCACCAAACTAATCGGAGAAATTTTTCTCGTCCGAGAAGCGCACATGATGCTGCTGCTTAAGTCGAGCTGCCGGCATGGGCCTACTCTCGCCCCTCGCCGCCGTCGCCACCGACGCAGCTCCAGCTGCCTTTGCTGCCACCACAGCTGCCGCTGCCTTGGCGACCTCATTTGCGCGTGTACCCGTCCAAATGTTGCCCATGCCATTAGTGGTGCTGTTGTTGTACTTTTTTTGTTGTTGTTGTTGTTGTTGCTGTTGCTTCGTCCGGCTGTTACCGCCACCGTCATTACCGCCGACGGCCGACCGGCCACGTCCTGTTGTCACGTTTATTTGCTTGTACGCGCTTCCTGTCACTCGCCTTTCGCTCGCCATTTCGGCTGTTGTTTCGGCAGCTGCTGCTTTTGTTGATGCTATTGTTAGTGGCGGTAGCGGTGGTGGTGGTGGTGGTGGTGTTTGGGGCGGTGTTGATGTTGATGCTGCTATTTCATTGCTTTCACTTCCGTCGGATGTCTTTTCGTGTCCTTCGTTGATGGAGAGTGTCGGCGAGCCGGATGTGGGCGGCGATGTTGAGGTCCATTGCTCATCGCAGGAGCAATAGCCGCGCGCTGTGTCACCCCCTTCCAAGGCGAGCGAGTGTAATTCACGCAACCTTCTTAATTTTTGTTGTTGACGCTTGTAAGCTGCGGCAGCTGCGGCGTTGGCGGTGACGGCGACTTTGACGTTGACAGCGGTTACGGAAGTCATTTGTTCTGGTCGTAATTTGTGATATTGTTTTTGTTGTTGTTGTTGTTGCAGCTGGTGTGCGCGCTGTTGATGAATTTGTTGTTGTTGTTGTTGTTGGTATGTTGTGGCTGCTGCTGCTGCTGCTGCTCCGACTGCTGATGCTGTTGAGGTTAGGTTTTGCGTTGTTGTTGTTGTTTGCTGGTATTGTTGCTGCTGCCTTAATGGCTGCAATGNTTGTTGTTGGTATGTTGTGGCTGCTGCTGCTGCTGCTGCTCCGACTGCTGATGCTGTTGAGGTTAGGTTTTGCGTTGTTGTTGTTGTTTGCTGGTATTGTTGCTGCTGCCTTAATGGCTGCAATGCTGTTCCTGGTGGTTGAGGTGGAGGTGGATGTGATTGTAGTGGTGGTGGCGGTGGTGGCTGCGTTGTTGTCGATGACATTGATGATACGGATGTTGCTGATGCCAAATGTGCGAATTGCATGCGTTGCAGTGTTACCGGCTGCTGGTAGAAGGGATGCGCTTGCGAGTACAGATCTCGGTCTTCATTTTCTTCTAGTTCGTTTCCATCAATTCCCATCGCGCCATCCTCTTCGTGCATTTTCGTATTCAATTTATCACTTGAGCTGTAATGAGAGTGAAAGAAAGAAAATTTATGAGAAACGTGGAATTAAAAAAATTAGGTAACATTAGTAAGTACGTACATAAATTATTTTAAATAGATTGAAAAATTTCAAGACAAAAAATTTTTATTTATTTATTTAGTAGTATCAAAAAAATCCATTAAGTTTTGGAATAGTATTAAATTGAAAAATAAAAAAATTCTACTTGGCAGCGAAATTCATGATCCAAACTCTTTAAAAATTAGCGACGTGAACGTCGAGTAGTAGAAAACCAGATGAAAAACCCTCCTCTCGAAATCACTCCGCACGCCCACAGAAAATGCTCAGTGTTTGGCTTTGTTAGTCTCCAAGGTTGGTATCTTCTTTTTGCGCTATCTGCTCAACCTCACAAGCAAATAAGAGGGCAGAAAAGGAATACGATATTCTCCGAATACTTATTTCCAACCGGTCAGGATTGCCAATTTAACTTTTGCTGGAAGTTTAGAAGATTGCATAGGTAATAAATAGTTCATACTTGTAGTTTTGCCGATGGATAGCTGTAGGATTTCTATGAAAAAGTAGTAATGCGAGGAAAAAAATCTTTACAGTGGAGATCTAAACCGTTCATGCTGCAGACCAATGACCTCAACAACTTTTCCGATATGACTTTAAATTACAATAAAAGCATAAGCTAGCTGGCAAGACATAGATATAAATATACATAAATAACAAAGGATAATGCGTCCCCATTTGCCAACGAACAGGGTTAGATTGTTGAAACGGGCTCTTCCCGGCCAATCCGATACGTGGAACCGGATCCCGCGATTCGCTAGATGCCTGCAACTATAGAGTAAACGCAATCTGAATATTCGACCTCAACACATTACACCAACCCTTCTTCCCAGTCCGACTCAGTCGAAACAGCGCGTTTTCTGAGCCTACCCTAGTTGAGCTTGATGAAAAGGATTGACAGACTAGCCAGACTAGGAAGGGCTAAGTAGCGCCGCTATAAAAAGAGCACAAGTTGACAGGACACTTTCTGGAATTGGCAATAGTCAGGTGGTGTTATATCGATTCCGACTTCAACAAGATCGTCAAACAATTGATATTATTTTTTAAGCTACTTTGTACTGAGTGGATAATTGGTGGTAAGGTCCTCGTTCCATAAACAAATATGTATTAATATGGATTTAGAGACAAACGGAGATCTCTGAAAACTATACGAATTCATTTTCTCAATTACCTATATGTAGAAAAGTAAAGGAGGACAACAAAATCGGCATTACCTAACCATCAATAGACGTCAACCAACTTTTATATCAAACATTCCTACCGCTTTCTTATCTGCTGGTTTGTGGTCTATGTAGATCAAGTACGATTATTTTTTGAACAAACAAATGGATGGCAATTTTTTTCCTTTTCCTGATAAAATAAAAGTAGTTTGGAATGTTTCGAATTTTTTCGAGATTTTGCTACGATTTTTCGTGCACTTTTGGGAATTTTTCAAGACCCGTTGTGGTTTATTTCAAGGGTGCATTTTAGTTACCGAGGAACGACCATAGACTTCAGGTTCTCGGGTGGTTATCATAATTGTTAACAATTTGTTTACTACCCACGCCCTTATAATGCGTGTGGAACAAAAAATGGTGGACCACATAGTGTGCGATTGTCCAGCGCTGGAAAATTTGTATCTGAACTGCTTTGGGGAGGCGATCCTTACTAACCTCGAGCCAGCAACAAAATAGGAATTCCAGAAAATCCTAAAATTCGCTAAGAAGATTTAATGGACTCTCGATATAGTGCCTACATATTCATCTAAATATCTGTGAATGCGAGGCTTTTAATAGCTAGCCGGTTGTAACCTAACCTATGAATTGCCGAAAATTACCTTTTATGTGATAAAATTTTTTTGATTTTTATTTTTAACCGACTTCAAAATAGGAGGAGGTTATCTATTCGTCGGAATATTTTTTTTTTTATGTTACCGCATAAATTTGGAGTACGTTAACCGATTTCCATAATTTTTTTTTTTTAAGGAAAGGGTGTACCTCAGAGGTGGTCCCACACTAATTTGGTTTAGATCCGATCTAGAATGTTAAGGTTATTTTTGAAATTTTTCCTCTGAGGTACCTCATACGTATTTCTTCCGATTATTAACTAAACCGGACCTGAAATACTACTGTTAGAAATATTTCGACTACAGCGCTCGCTATCCGACCTCAAAAAATTTATAAACGTTCTTAGCTCAAGCATGCAAGCAAGTATTCAGTTTCAATACTAAGGCCAGTATGCAGCTCTCAAGAAAACAGACAAGATAAAAATTGCCATTATTTCATGTGTGTGTATAAGGGATTTTGACATCTGATACTTCACATCCTGTTGTCTCACTCTTTCTTCAAGAAATAATGGAACGGGTATATATTTCTGTTGCAAACATGGGTTGCCTTGTGCTATTTTTTCGTAAAAAAAAAAACTTTAGAAAACCGTACTAGAAAGCATAGCAAATTTCTTAAAAAGTGCGTACAGCATAAGGAAATTTGACATACAGACCTTTATATTCCTCATATCGCCATATGATCTGCCAAATAATAAAATTCAAGAGACATTCTATCAAAATCCAGAGCCAAAGACGAACGTAGCGAAAGACTGACAACTTCAAATGCTTTTTATGAAAATTTTAAATGTTAATTAAGAAATGCCATGCAACATCGAAGCCAAGGGAAAGAAGCAGCTAAATATCATAAATTAAACTGAAAGCAGTGGCTATACGAGCATACGTACATACGTAATTGCTCGCATATTTCTATGTGTGTTGCGATGAGTTACAGGTGGAAATTTATAGCCTTGTTTATTATTATCGTTGTACATATATATATGAATGTATGTACATATGTATGTATCTAACTACAACATCGTATACATCACATCGTTTTCCTTGGTACGAAAAGCTGAAGAAAAAGCAAAAGTAGCTTGCGTAATTGCAAAAAAAAACAAGTTAATGCAATTTTATGCTCGCTGCACATAAAGAACGTCAGCGAGTGAGTGCAGACTAGCGGAAACAGACAGACAGACGGTGGAAACAGGTACATGCATGAATGTTGATGTTACAATTGTTGCAGGCAGAGGTAAAAGCACGTGTGCAAGGCCATAAGCGTGATTAAACATGCACACTCAAACACACTTAGCGCACACCGTCTTCAAAAGAGTCACAACTCATAATAATACGTTAGTCAGATAATGCGAAAAACTATATCACTTACCACATGATAATCATATGGGCAGGGCGACTTTACTTTAGGCTTTTTTTTTTAACAAGTTATAACAAAAATTTGCTCCAGCTTTTGCTGAAAGGTAAATAAAAGCTCTGTGTACATTTTTAGCGCATAATCTCAAAAATGCTAAATTTTGAGTTGTGGCTCTTTTGAAGAGGGTGTGCGACATATACAGATATAGACAAGTCCATATGTGCGTGATTGCAGTTATATTTAGTCAGCATTGTGGCAATTTTCGCATAGCATATTTCAAGGCAACTTACGACCGCCAGGCAGCCAGGCAACCAAGCAACGAGCCAACCAGTAATCAGTTAGCATGCAAGGTGTGGTGCGAAATTACAGGACTGCAGTAGCAGTTGCAATTATAATTGCCACATGGTAGGCGCAGACGTGTCTGTGCAGCCTTGAGGACAGAATAATGGAAATAAGGAAGCGTGGCATAGCGAAGAGAAAAAAGAGTAATGAAAGTACAAATGGTACTTATATATGCACAATCAGGTAAATGCAAGAACTTGCTTAAAAAGCGGAAAAATATGGCGACAATGGCTTCACCACTGCTGAGGCAAAAAAATTTGCATGCTGATGGTATGGCCGTCGGTTGATGATGCCGTCAATATTTGCCGCATATAATTGCAGAAAAAACAAAAAACAAAAAGATGCCAAAATATGCTCTAGTAAAACCACAGCACAGCGAGCAGAATGAAGCACGTGCGATTATTATTTCTGCCAGCAGAGTCTCATGGCTGAAGGCGATCTGCTGAGTTGCATATTTGCATGTGTGCAAGTTCGTTTATTTATGTTTACATTTACGTAAGATCAATGGCGTTACAATGGCAGAAATATTAAATTGTCATAAAGTCGGGGTGGAGGTCAGTTCACGCAATTTGGAAATGCAAATTCTTACTATTTTATAATTGATGTGGGTTTCTTTCACAAAGCCCAGTCGTCTTACCAGGATACAGTGGATCTCTATAAGAGTTGGACGACACCCTTTGGTTGTTGGCTTGAGTCGAAAGCCCTCCCTTACCTAAACCAAGTAAGCACCGAGCCCACCTACGGCCACAATAGTTTACTTAATAGATGTATAGTCCGTGAGCAAACAATTCTTACCGACCATGAACAAAATTTTATTAGATTATATAAAAGATTTCAAAAATCATTGAAAACATCTTTAGACAAAGAAAAATGCAGCCCAACAAAAGATCAGATCTGGTTAAATTCATTAAGAGCGCAGGCAATTGCTCCATTTCGTGTAAACATTTCAAAGTTCCCTTCTTGGAACATTTATTATTATATTATTTTCCCAAGAAGGGTAGCAAAATCAAAATTTCCCTGGAAACGCCATAAATAAAAGTTAAACAAATAATTAAACTTCTCCTTTCTAAGGTTAAAGATTTAAATAGAGTAAACGAGTATTATATGATGGAAGAGGATCAGTGAATTTAAGAACCGCAATGCTTACCTAAAAGCTTAAACAGACGGCAGCGTTGACCCGGACTAACTCAGACTTAATCCGGATCAACTGCAGTTAATTCCCTGGACTGATGAGCGTTATTTTTTGAAGCGCGGCCTAAGGCCGCTTACGCAGACAGGAATTCTGTTCAAAAATACTGTGTCGCCTGATCTAGTTTAGCCTAGTCAAAACTAGTTTGTCCTAAGATCGGGTAGAACCGAAGTAGATTGATTTCTAATTCTCATTTATATTCCCCCTTGACTGAGAAGAATGCTTATTTCTCATTTATATTCCTCCTT